GCACAGGCAGGGAACACACAGTGTGCAGGTTCCCCGTCACGCCAATTTAGGCGCCACTCTAGCACTTGGGCTTGGGAACAATCTAGCAATGCACTGCCTCAGCTGCCCGCAGCAGGTTCACTGTGGGCGCAAATCGATGGGTCAAGAAATCGGGGCAGGAGAAGCAGGTGTGGTGCGGTGCTGGTGGTAAGACGGAAAAAGCGTTGGGTGAGGTGGGAAGGGGAGAGGAAGGGACAGTGCGTGGGTGAGTGAGAGCAATGCGTCCACACCGAAGGGGCAGAGAATTTGTAGGCAAGGCGTCAGACTGGGAGAAGCAGGTGCGGAGCTGGGGAGGTTGGTTGGCAGGGGAAGCGGGGACATGGAGAGGAGGGTATGGTGAGAGGAGGGGACAGCGCCGGGGGAGGTCAGTGCAGAGCCACTGTGGGGCAGGGACCCGTGGGGCAGTCGTTGGCGTAGGAGAAACAGGCAAGGAGCTGGAAGGGTTGGGGAAGGGGGGAACGCGGGGGGGGGAAGGGGGGAACGCGGGGGTGGGAGGGGTGGGGGGTTGGGAAGGGAGAGAGTATGGGAAGGGAGGGGATACTTTCAAGGTGAACAGTGCACTCGTGCTGTGGGGCCGAGTCCGTCCAATGGGGCAAACCAGACGTGGGTGGCTCGTCTCTGGGCCGTGCAAATCTGTGGGCCAGATGATGTGGGTGTAGGAGATGTAGGTGCGGTGCGGAGATGGGGGGCACAGGAGGGGAGGGAAAGGAGGAAAAGAGGCAGTGGGTTATGAGAGGGATGTGGGAGACAGTGCCGTATGTGCGCGAACCTGAGGGCCAGAAATCAGTATAGGGGAGGCAGGTGCGGGGCTAGAGGGGTGGAAGGAAGGAGGGGGCACTGGATGCGGCGAGGAGCGATGTGGGAGAGAGTGTCGTAGTGGCGTGAGTGTGTGAGACTGTGGTGGAGAAGCAGCGGAGTGGGGAGGGAAGGGGAAGAAGGGGGGACATAAGTCAAGCGGAAGGGTGACAATGTGCTGTGGGATACACAAATGAGCAGCTGAATGGATGCGATGCGGAAGTGGGGGAGTGGGGGGTTGCGAATGGGGTTTGGGTGGGAAGAAGGGATTGGAAAGGGAGAGGGAAGTAGTTGGATTCTTCCCACTGGCCGTTGAGACGTAAAGCTGTCCTTGCCCAGAAGTCGTTCACTTAAACTTCTCATGAAGATGGCCGCACGCAACGCAAGCACTTCAATGCCTAGCCCACGTCCCATCAAGCGGCTAAGACGCTGTAGTGCACCAATTCCGCCAACGAAGGTCAGTGGCGTTGCAGCGAGGGCAGTCGGGGCTATTTGACTTAGCCCACCAGTGTGTAACTTAGGGGCGCAGGTGGAGAACCCACCAGTGGTGGGTGCTCCAGGCGAGGCTTTGTCCCTTGGGGACTGCCTCGCCATCTTAGAGCCCGGTCTTCATCTCCCGTACAGGGAGTTCAGCAGGGCGTCGTTTTCACTGTCCTAGTTTAGGAGCTTGCTTGCCTGTTTTTGAATCAATCTGCATGCCTGTATTTTGACATCTATAGCAATGAAAGGACCGTTGGAAATAGTTGGAGGGGGAATGGGGGAAGGAAACTCACCTGGCCCGCCCATCACCTCCCTCCACTCACTCTCACAACCATTCCATACCCACTCGCAGCAACTCCTCACCGATTCTCATCAAGTCTCACTGAAACCCCCCCATACCCACCCCGCACCGACTGCATCCAACTGGCTCCAACATCGCCCACGAGGCACGTTTTGAGACGTCTCAAAGCACCTTGAGGGGCCTCAAAAGCAACCCACCACCCTCTCTCATCAACTCTCACTGACACACACCCAGTTATTCGACTGGATTGCCTACGACACAGCTCCACCGCCGACTCTCACCTGGGAAATCTCAGCTTGTGTCAGCTGCCCCCTGGTCCCTTGCACCCATCGTGATATCCCACACATCCTCTGGTCTACGCCCTGCCCCAGCAGCATCCTGTCTCATCCCCCCCTTCAACCCCCATTCACTCCCCTTTACCCCCTATTCACTGTCTCCTTTACCCCTTATTCACTCCCCTTCACCCCCTACTCACTCCCTTTCAACCCCCTATTCACTCGCCTTCACCCCCCATTCACTCCTCTTCATCCCCCATTCGCTCCCCTTCACCCCCCATTCACTCCCCTTTAACTCCCTTCACTGCTTCCTCGAGTGACCCTCACAAACGCGCCTTACCCACAGAGATTCCTCACTGCCTCTCTCTCACACACATATCCACCCTCACCAGCTCTCACCTTAGCACAACCCAGCTCTTCCACGCTACCCCCTCCCATCGTGAGTCACGTCGAACGCATCCCCAATGGCGCGCTTGCCTTGCACTCACCGCATTCGTCATGCAAGTCCGTCCGAAGCCACACGAGCAGCAGGCGTGCTGAAGTGAAACTTGAGAACAGCCGTGTGAAGGATGAGATGGGCATCGTCATTCCCCATGTGAGCTGTCGGCCTCAGCTACCCGGACCCTGTGGGGTGGGGGGGAGGAGGAGCAGAGAAGCGGGAATTGAGGACAAGATGAGGGGGGGGGGAGGAGAGAGGGCGGGGTAGGGAAGAGCAAAGTGGGAGAGAGAAGGTGGGGCAAAGTGAGGGCAGGCGCGGGCAGGGAGCCAGAAGCAGCGTTGGTACTTGTTGCAACAAAAGAGTCATGCGGACTGGATGTGCAGCGAGACAGTGGAGAAGGTGTGAGCAAGCAACACGAGAATCGCACTCATCACGTCTCAACAGGCTGTGCCACGTGGCACCATGCGATAACTGCATGTCCTGTATCTGTCCGATCTGCCCCGCCCCATCATTCCTCAACCTTTGGCCTCATGCAATATTCAGAGTCCCATCCCATCAAACCAATCTGCCATGTCAGTTGGTAAATAGCTCTCATGTAACCACCAGCTACTATAGGTCGTGCTGTCGTAAGCCAATGCGGGGAATACCTGGTGTAACACAGGATGGGTGCCACGATGTGCCCGAGCGGGCAACAGGAAGGCTAGAAAAGGCCTGCGAGCGGTAACGTTCGGTTCGAAAGAGAAAAGCAGGCGGATTCCGTTCGGTGGGAGTGGATACCCAAATCGGCGGGGTTGATTCTAGCTGCAGCATCAGCTCTGACTTAAAGCACCCTTCGAGGACGAGAGGCCGGAGAGTCCGGAGCCGGAGGACCTAAACCGAGGCGTGCTCGGGACATTCGGGGTCGGGACTAGGGAGCAATTCGACGCTGGCGCTGTCAGCAAGACACTGTGAGCTTGTCAAATCGCCGCAAAAGAAGGGGCACGCAGTGGATACCGGTTCATGACAGCTCCTTCCGTGCCGATAGTGGCAGAAAGTAAGAGTTGCGCTGGCTACACAGATGGATGAATTACGAACAACATCGTCTTCTGGAAACAACGGAACAAATGACGATTGACGATACCATTCCCTCCTTACAATTGTCGCAGCATCAATAATGCGGACGTCTCTTTCCTTGCGAACCGTAAACGCAGCAGGCAACCGTCGTTACCTGCTGTCTATTTTCGTCAGGCTCGCCAAGTTCGCAGAGGGGGTTCTGGGAGCAGAAGCCTGGCGAAAAGCTTGCACGAATTTCGTCGATATGTTTCCGTCTGCGCACTTCATCAGATTTGCCTTTCCCCACCACCCCGCTCATTCTACTGCCTGGAATAACAGAGATCCCGTAAGCAGACGGCCTGCCACACAAAGCGGACTAGTTCACGTTCACCTGCAGCGCTGCGCATAGGTCCTGTGAATAGGGTTTTCGTTAGATATCATGCCTCGCGCATACATCAACGATTTGTCCGACGACCTGCTCATTAAGATCTTCTGGCGCGCCAGAGAACAATTCATTTCCCGCCAACCCACAGACATTGTTCATTCGTCGCGTTCCATATTCCCTAGGCCGAGGTACTCCTCCGAAAACCCCTATGGCGAAGAGCTCAGCACCTCGAACGGCTACTTGCTACCGTTGTCGCTGCAGCGGAACGATAATAGTAGTACTAGCACGACCATTGCGAGTAATCCGTTGACAGCTCCTGCTGCGCTCACAGACGCGGCCTATAATCTCCTCATCGCCTCCGTCTGCTCGCGCTGGCGTCGCCTGGCTCGCCAGCAGATCTACACGCTTCTCGTGAAGAAGAACCGCGTCGTTTCGCTCGCAGATCTCACCGCGGCCGTCGCGTGCTTCCCTCACCTCTCCCACGTGCATCTGAGCGACAACAGCGTCGAGACCATCGACGACGCGTTCCTCGCTCACCTCGCTGCCACATGCCCGAAACTCGTGTCGCTGCACGTGGGAAAGGGGATTACTAAGAAGGTGAAATGGGGGAGCGGGGACGGGGACTACCATCCGGTGACCGCAGCTGGGTTGGATCATTTCCTGCGTCGCTGCACGCAGCTGGAGCACCTCTCGCTCTACTGCCTGCATCCGTACCAGTACCTCCCGCCTTCCCTCTCCAACCTCGCACACCTCCACACCCTCGCTCTCACCCACGCCTCACCTCTTGAGACTCCGGGATTCACGAGACTTACGTCCCTCACCGCTCTTGCCGTCGACATTCCCGAGTACGAAGATATGAATGTCGCGAGCTTCGCTCATCTCCCTGACTTCACCACCCTCTCTGTGTCTAACAAGTTGTGGCTCCGACAAGGAGGCGTCGGCGCTCACCCCTTCTCGCTCGCTCACCTGCCGTCGCTGAAAGCGCTCGAGTTCGAACCCTGCAGCCCACCATTCGACTTGCTGTTCCCGCCAGAGTCTTCCTACAGCCATCTGGAGCAACTCCTTCTCAAAGGCTGTGACGGGCTGGAGCGCCTCCCTGACGACATCGGAGAGCGGTTACCATGCCTTCGAGACCTCAGCATCTGCGACTGCAAGAAGCTCTCCTAGCTGCCCGAGAAATTCACCGCCCTCAGCTGCCTGGAGAAACTCGTTATTTCCTCTTGCAGCATCGTTAGACTGCCCGAGAATTTCGGAATGCTGCCCGCCTTGAAGAAATTGTCGCTGCTGGACCTGCAGATTGCGCGCCTCCCAGAGTCCTTCCACCAGCTCGCCTCCCTGGAGGCTTTCCATCTGTCCCACTGCACGGCCCACTTCAGATTCCCTGCAGCATTCGGCGATCTCACAGCCCTCAGATCCCTCTACATCCTCATTGCACCGAACCTGATTCTCCCAGACGACATTGGCGAGCTCACCAACCTTCACACGCTCCATTTCAGCAGGAATCACCTGCAGGAGCTGCTTCCATCCTCCTTCATGCAGCTGACTTCCCTCACCAGGCTGGAGCTGGTCGACTGTGCGATAGTCCAGCTGCCAGGGGACATGGGGAGGTTGGGTAACCTGAGGGAGTTGATCATCCAGCTCTTCACGAGCATCACGGAGATCCCGCACTCCCTCACTGACCTCGTCAACCTCGAGGTTCTCAAAGTGCTCGGCTGCCGCAACGTCTCCTCCTTTCCCACCTCCTTGAGCAGCCTGGCACGGCCGAAAGAGTTGGCTCTGGCCAAGCTCCCTCAGCTGCCACAGCTCTTGCCATCCCTGCCCCGTTCCCTTGAAATCCTCTCCCTGGGGACCTACCAGCGGCTCACCCCTTTTCTGGCGATCCCTGCTCTGCCGAATCTGAGAAGGTTGAGTCTGATAAGCGTTGCCTTCATGCGCGGGATGGTGGCTGGCATGGCGCTGCCTGCAGTGGAGCACGTGGAGCTGTCGTTGGTGGGAGAGGCAGAGGATCTCCCGCTGCCGCTTGACCTTGTCCCCAACCTTCGCAGCGTCAGAATCGCAAGTGCTGGGCGCCTCAAGAGCTTTCCAAAGAAGCCTGTTCCGTTCAAGATAATCTTCCAGCTAATGAATCGGCTGGAGATACAGCAGGCTGTAAAGTTAAAGGAGCTCACAGAGAGTGTCACCGCGCTGCACCGCCTCACATCCATTGAGATCCACGCACCTGAACTTGCCTCTCTGCCGGATGGCATTGGCTCCTTGTCTCGACTGCGCCGGCTGAATCTGGCCGGCTGTTCACCCCTTGCATCCCTCCCTGCTTCTCTCACCCAGCTCTCCTGCCTTCACGACCTGAACCTTGCCTGCACCTCTGTGCGCTCCCTGCCTTGCAACTTTGGGCAGCTGAGTCGGCTCAAGTACCTTGACCTGCATGCGTGTAGAAAGCTGGTTGCTTTGCCCGAGGATATCACCCAGCTTGAGATGCTTCACAGCTTGAATATTTCAGGGTGTGATGATGACATTGACACTGACTGTCTTTGTGGGATGCATGGACTACGTATTATTAGGACCTGTGATAACTAATGATGCCTCGGTGCTACTACCATAAGGTTGTTGGATGTATCCAAGGTGCTAGTATAAGTGACTCCTCCTTTGAGCAGCAAGCATGTCTGTGCCCTTCACGGGCTTCTTTTGCACACATACGGAAAGAGGTCATGAGGGCCATTGTTGAAGCCACCTTAGTCCTTGAAGATCAAGAGCCCATGACGCGATTCTTGATGGGGTGCCATTAGAGATCTTGTCAAGTAGAGTTATGGTACTTACTGAGCTAGCCTCTTCATGGCTATCTTACCGGTACAATGGTTCTCTGCAGGCAGCCCAATGCTATACACAAATATGTCAGAAACTGAATTGTGTGTTCATTGATGTGGGTTGGGGTACATATAGCAAACCCTAATATTTGTACCCCCTAAGACAAGCCTCACTACAGGCTACAACATTTGACACACCCCCATAGCCTAAGTGAGGGGTGTCTAGCAAAGACAAAAGAGTACGGTCACAAGACCAGTCACAAACAAACAAACCTATCTCAGGGTGGATCACAACGTCACCACACATTCTGAGCGCAAGCAAAGGGCTACAAGGCTAGTTAAAGTGTTCACAGGTGTATAAGTAATGAGTACAATACAACAAGCAACAACTATGCACGATGAGAACCAGAGTCAACGAGACCTAACTGCACACAACACCTGTGGTGGTCACAAGGCGGAAGCGCCTTGGTGAAGATGTCGGCAGTGTTGGCCTCGGACTCCACAAAGTCCAAGCGAGCCTGTCCACGCCTCTGCAACTCTCGCAGAAGAAAGTACCTGATGTTGATGTGCTTCATTCTGCTCTCCAGGAATCGCCGCCTTGTTGTCAGTGAACAAGGTCGGTGCAGAGCTCGGCCGCTCACCAAGGTCTGTGAGCAAGAAGGTCAACCAACGCAGCTCCTGTGCAGCCATGGCTCCAGCGTAGATCTCAGCCTCAGCGGTAGAGGTCGAGACCGAGGAGGAGCGCGTGGACCTCCACGAAACAGCTCCAGAGCCCAGGCTGAAACAGTAACCCTGAGTAGACATGCGGGTCTCGGCGTCGTCAGCGTAAGAAGAGTCATAGTGACCAGTAAGGACGACCGGCTGTGTCCCTCCAAGTACCAGCCCCATGCCTGATGTCGTCGCGAGGTACTTCGCCACCCTCACAGCAGCGGTCCAGTAAACAGGACGGTGTCTCCCTGGCGCAACAAAGCGAGCAAGGATGCTGAGAGGGTAGGCAAGGTACGGGCGAGTACAGGTCATCAGGTACATGAGGCAGCCCACAAGCTCTGCGTAGGGACCACTAGACTCAAACGGCTCGTCAGGAAAGGGACCAGTGAGTCTGTGGTCAACAGCAAGAGGTGTGCGCTGTACTGTGGAGTGCTGAAGCTCGAACCGCTGAAGGACCTGCTGCACCATGTGTGACTGTGAGAGTGTAATGGTGCGAGCAGCTCTGTCTCTGGTGATCTGCAGGCCAAGGTAGTGGCGCAACTCACCAAGGTCAGTGCACGTTTGTCTCTTCTACCGTTCACGCTTCACGTCAGCCAAAGCAACCCTGTCAGCAGTGGCAAAAACCAGGTCGTTGACGTAGACCAGTACAAAGAACGGTGTGGAGCCACGACGAACGAACAACGACGGGTCGGCAGAAGACGGCTGGAAACCGAGGTCAGACAGGGTAGAACGAAGGGTGTCGTGCCACTCACGAGGAGCCTGACGGAGACCGTAGACCGGTCGCCTCAGCCTCCACTGGGTCCCAGGAGGGAAAGTGCCAGTGAAGGCAGAGGGACGACGCAACCAGACCTCCTCGTGTAGGCTACCCTGAAGGAAGGCAGTGGAGAAGTCGAGAGAGTGTAGCTCGTAGTCTCTCTGTGCTGCTACGTGCAGTAACACCCGAAGAGTGGTCATCTTCGGGGTAGGCGCGAAGGTCTGAAAGAAGTCAACTTCCTCGTGCTGATTGAAACCTCTAGCCACAGAGCGTGCCTTGAAGACTGGAGGAGATCCCGGTGGCCGCTTCTCCCTAAAGATCCACATGCCATCGACTACGTTCGCCCCAAGGGGGGGAACCTCGTCGACGTAGGTGCCTGTGGATCTGTAGGAGGCCATCTCTGAGTCCATGGCAGCTCTCCACTGAGAGGCCCAAGGCCCTGATACTGCCTCAGCATATGTGCAAGGAGTCGGTATGTCAAGGAACTCTAGCTCAAACTGCCAGGAACTCTAGCTCAAACTGCCTGTCCTCTAGGGCGTCACAGCCAAGGGCAGACTCACCCCCGACGGCCAGAGGACTGGTAGGAGGAGCAGCCACAAGAGTGGTGGCGTAGTCAAGGCGGCGAGTAGAGGCAAACTCAGTGACCCTAAACCCTAAGTGCGGACACAGTAGACAGAGAGGCACGAGGGTCCGTAACAAGAGAGGCGAGAACACGAGAGAGAACAGGACGGTACGTGTGGTAGTAGTCAGTGACAGGAGTAGAGAGGGAAGCAGTGAGGGCCGACTCAGGAGGAGAAGGAAGCACAGACGGAGACGAACGAGACAGAATAGGACGGAACATGGCAGTACAAAGGTCAGTGAGAGGGACAGGGGACGAGGGACGAGCACGAGGAGAGCGACGAGAGGGCCAAGCGTGTGAAGGAGGAGGAGACAACTTAGGCGGAAAACGAAAGAAAACAGCCGGAGAGGAGTCAGGAGGAGGGAACGTGGGACCGTAGATAGGGGGAGAGGGGGAGGAGGAAGGAGAGCGAGAGGGGAGACCGAGGGTCCGAAGACCAGAGACAGGAGGAGGAGGTGGCGGCTGCTGCTGCTCCTGCTGCGGCTGCGACCCCTGCTCCTCCAGCTGCGGCTGCTGCTGCTGCTGCTCCTCAAGCCGCTGCAACTTATTCTCATCTCTCTCCAACTCCAGCTGCTCCTCACGGGCACGGCGAACACGAGCCTGGTGCCGGGTCAAGTAGGGGTGGGGGGGAGGAGTAGTGTCCGAGGCCGTGGCAGCCCCGGGATAGCCCTCAAGAGCACCGGGCGCACCACCCCCAGAGTCAGTACCACCAACAGCAACACGGTCAGGCTCACTAGGATCCGGAGGGGGCGAACCTGCACCCCCAAACGGAGCACCCCCAGGGACAGCTCGACTAACACCAGCTCCCCGAAGACTAGAGTCTCCTGCAGTCACGGGCTCAGCTCCAACTCCAGCACCCCCAGAACCAGGACCCGGCACAGGTACGCTCTCTGCTCCAACTCCAACTCCTCCAGAGCTAGCACCTGCAGGGTCCGCTCTACGAACACCGGCTCCCGCAGGGTCTGCAGCAGGCTGCGAGGAGGACTGCGGGGAAGGAGGCTGCACCTGAGGGGCTACCGAGGGGGGAGGGGTAGCGTGGGACACACCTGGCGGGGTTGGACCAGGGGGGGGGGGGGAGGCTGAACTGGGGGAGCAGGAGGAGGAGCGGAAGCGAGGAAGAGAGGGGGAGGAGGAACCGGGAGACCTCGACAGGGGTACTTGTCGTAGTAGGGGACGGACTCGTCGAAACGGACGTCACGGGAGTCAAAGAACCGGTGAAGGGGAGGGTGGTAAAAGGTGAAGTCGCAGGAATCCTCTGGGAAACCAAGGAAGACACAGGGAACGGCGCGAGGCGAGATCTTGTATGCGGAGGTGTCGCGAACAAGAGCCAAGCAACCCCAGACACGAAACCGCGACGCAACACCAGGGGACCCAGTCCAAAGACTGGTCGCTAAAACCTCTGGCCGAGAGACACGTGGCCAGAGGTTCAGCTGGTGAGCGGCGTGCCTAACCGCATAGGGCCACTGAAAATGGGAGGCACGGACGTGAGTCATGGAGGTGCGGGCCATGACCAAGCCTATGCGGCGCTCAACAACCCCATTCTGCTGTGGGGACTCTGGAAGCGTCCAGGACTGACGGATGCCCTGATCGTGACAGAATCCGGCGAGAACGCCAGAGCGAAACTCACCCCCGCAGTCGGAGTGAAGACAGCTGACACGACGACCACGAGTGTCCGCAGTGGTAAGCAACCACCTGTCGGGGGGCAGGGACAAGGGCCGGGGGCAAGAGCTGCTGGTGCTGCTGCTGCTGCTGCTGCTGCTGCTGCTGCGGCTGCTGCCGCTGCGGCTGCTGCCGCCGCTACTGCGGCTCCTGCTGTTGCTGCCGCCCACCGGGGCCAGTGTGAAGTGTGTAGAGACCGAAGCCCGACTCAGCAGTAAAGGTGGCAAGAGGCGCGTAAGAGTCGCCGTCAACACAAACCGTCGTCTTGCAAGAGGGCTCAATCCACACACCCACGTATTGACTCACGAGAGGCCTCACGCCCACCAAGTTCCTCGAGAACGAGGGGACGTGGAAGCCGGTCAGAGACCCGGAGGGAACAACTAGGCACGGAAGAGTAGTAGTGTAGCGAGCAGTGACTGGTCCCGAAGTAGTCAGCTAGAGACCGGCGCAGGAAGCGGTGTGAGCGTCGTGTGGTCGCGGAAGAAACAGTGCGAAGCTCCAGAGTCCAGAGTGAAAGACAGCGAAGCGTCATCCGAAGTAGCTCCTAGACTAGTGTCTACACAAGAACCTACACTAGCAACAGGCAACTCAGCAAGACTAGCACCTAAGCTAACAACACTCGAGTAAACAAAGTCATAAGCACTAGATTGAACTACAGCATACATAGCATGAGGAGTTCCTAACAGATCAGTCAAGCAACTGAGAAGCAGACATGCCCCACAGATCGGGGCCGTACGACTGAACAAGAGGAAGCCAGTCAGGGGCAGGGCCGTCAACGCCGTAGGCCAAGCAAACGGTGTCAGTAAGCCGAGCAAAGCACTGACCCGGTGGGTGGGTGCAGCCGCAGGGCTTGCCCCGGGGAGCACTTGCCAGAACGTGATAGGTGCACGGAGGGTGAACGACACTGCGCTGGAGCTGACGCTGTCCTGACCCCTGCCCCAAAACCTGCTGCTGCCGCTGCTGCTGCGGGGGCTGCTGCGAGGGGAGGGGCTGCTGCTGCTGTTGCCGCTGAGTCAGGTACCACGCCACTGCTCCACTCCCGGCGGCTGGCAGAACAGTAGGTGGCTGACGAACCCGGGCGTCACCTCCACCAGCTACAGAAGGGGAGTCACTAACCACTACACGAGACGCTCCTCCAGCCGCTGCACTCCCGCTGCCACCGCTAGCCACGACACCCCCGTCGCCTCCGCCGCCCCCGCCTACACCCTGACCGCTCCTCTTGCCACCCCTAACCCAGGATCGCGAAGAAGTCGTAACAGCAGCTGCGGTCACGTCAGTAGCGGCAGTGGCGAGGGAGGCAGTAAAGGTGGGCAGCTGAGGGACAGTGCACCCGTGAAACAGTGGAGGGGGCACAGCACCAGAGGCGGAGGCTACCGAGCGGAGGTTGCTCTCGACGTCCTTGAGAGCAGACTCAAGGACGCCGATAGTGAGCTCGCTAGGGTGCTTCAGAAAAAGCGCGACACGAACCGAAGCAAGGCGGTCAAGGAGGCTAGTGGCGATGAAATAGATAGTGATTGCCTTGGGGGGAGGCAGCAGTGCAAGCTGGTCGTCAGTGCAAGCAGTGCGAAAGCTAGCGTCAAGTGAGCGCAGGTGAGCAATCAGGTCAGCAGAGCGCTCAAACGAGGCGAGGTCAGAGAACAGGAACGGGAGGAACAGGCGGCCAAGAGAGACGGTGGAAGGAGTAGCATAGCGGGCCTTAATCGCAGATAGGAACACACGAGCTGTGCGAACCTGTGCGAAATGGGTCTCCTCAGACTCAGAAAGGAGGCTGCTGAGGGCGATGCAGGCCGCAGCGTCGCGCGATCGCCAGACAGTCAGGTCAGCACGCTGATGTGCAACACGCTCTCAGTCCTCAGGGGTAGCGTCAAGTCCTAGGGTAGCAGGAGCGGGGGGCGCGGGGAGGTCACCGGATACGTGCGCCCACAGAGACTCATTTGCCTGCCTGAACCTGACTCTCTAGGAGACGCTGCACACGTTGGAGCCAGACAGAGAACTCGAGGGGCCTACCCTCGACGTCAAAGCGAAGGACCCTAGGTGTTGCCATAGCGAAAGCAGAAACTACAGGGCCGGCAGGGCGCAGTGGCAGGCGAGGACAGGGCGACAAGCACGGCAAGGAGACAAGCGGTGGGGCGATAGGCGCGCGGGCGAGCGCAGGGCAGGCGCGCGAGCAAAAGTAGGCACGCGGCGGACGCTAGAGGGACGCGAAGGGCCGGCGCGGCGAGCTCTAAGGGCAGGCTCGGTGGGCGGCACGGGCAGACACGGCGGGCAGGTAGGGCAGGGCCGCGGCAGGCTCTAAGGGCAGGCGCGACAGGTGGCACAGGCAGGCGCGGCAGGTGTCACGGGGAGAGACGGCGGGCAGCGAGTGCAGGCCCGCGGCAGGCGCAAAACGCAGGCACAGCGGGCGCAAGGGGTGGGCCCGCGGCGGGCATAGCTAACAGGCGCGGCAGGGGCGAACGGGCGGGCCCGTGACGGGCCGAACGGGTAGGCGCGGCGGCGCGAAGGCAGGGCCCGTGGCGGGCGTAACGAGCGGGCGCGGCAGCGGGCGTAACGGGCAGGCGCGGCGGCGCGAAGAGAGGGCCCGCGGCGGGCCTAACGGGCAGGCGCAGCGGGTGCTAAGGGCAGACGCGCGACGAGCGTTGAGGGCAGACGCGGCGGGCGCGAAGGGCAGGCGCGCGGCGGGTGCTTAGGGCAGGCGCGGCGGGCGCTTAGGGCAGGCGCGCGACGGGACGGGGGACGGGACGGGACAGGCGCGAGAACGGGCAGAACACGCTGCGGCAAGCGCTATTGCAGGCGCGCGGGTGACGGACGGACGAAAGGGGCGCTACTGCAGCGCTACGAGACAAGACAGGACGGGTGAGGCGCGTGAGGCTCGGGCAAGAGGAACGGGATCCTACAGGATCCTAACCTAGGTGATACCATGTCAGAAACTGAGTTTTGTGTTCATTGATGTGGGTTGGGGTACATATAGCAAACCCTAATATTTGTACCCCCTAAGACAAGCCTCACAACAGGCTACAACATTTGACAAAACACCCCATCGTACATATGATTTTCCCTTGTTGTACATTAATTCTCCAAGACAGTATATTGCATGATTTCCATGTACACAGATTCTCCATGGTATACATGAACTCCCCATGTACAGGAACTTTCATGCTGTATACAAATTTCCCATGCTATTCGTACATCTCATCGGCCCTGCCTTCGTTACCACCAGCACCACCACCTCCATCCATCTCCATCACCAACAATCTCAGTCTCATCTCAATAAGGAGCCTCCTTGCTCAACCATCTCTCTGTGCCTAGCACGAGCGAATTGGCTGCCATCCGGGAGAGTTCTGTTTCGCCTCAATTCGCATCCTGCAGTGCCGCTACCACAGAGCGAAGATTCAAGTCGAGGTGCCAGACCATGGATGAATTGTGTCGGTGCAACACAAGCACTTCAAAGGGAGTTAAGTCGTTGGTGAGTGCAAATCTCAAAACGTCTGCACGAGGAATTGCATGCGGAGGAAAGGCACGTGGCACGATGAAATGACATGCTAAATGCTTCATCATGGCATGACAGATTGTGTGTTGACCACATCACAAGGTGTATGGTGAATGGCTTATGACAAGATGACATGCATGCTGAATAGCATGTCCCATGGCATGATACTGTGCATGCTGTTTGGCTCATTCGAAAATAAATATTTCTTAAAAATGATGAATGCCTCAGAGAAAGGTGGCTGAATGCCCAACAGCATACAGCATGATGATCGCTGGCTAGATGTGTCATAGCTTCATGAACTGAATGGTGCGTATGTTGCCTTGCGGCATGGTGGATAGCAAACTGACTACTCATGGCACGATGAGATGCATGCTGGATGCCATATTGCATGCTTGATTGCATAACTCATGGCATAATGACTTGCACCGTCAATGTCTCGTGGCATGCTGTAGGTCTCATGGTAGGACGACCTGCAAGCTGGATGTGATGTGCCATAATGAATGTGGCATGCATTATGTGGGGTGCTGAACATTTGTTTGCATGATGAATGTCATTAGATGCTGAAGGTCCTTTCATAGCATGATATATAGCAGTCTAAATGCCTGATGACATGATGGTTTGCATTGTGAATGCCACATAGACAGACAGACCTATGCAATTTGAAGGTACCACAGGATGATCAATGCATGCTGAATGTCTCAGTACATGAAAACTTGGTGAATGTCCAACACTGTGACATGACAACTTGGATGAGTCTTGGCATTCAATCGCGTGCTCATTTTCTCAATGCATAATGAGCTGGTTGCTGAATATTCCACAGCATTCCATGATAAATCAAAGGTTGAGTGTCTCATTGCATCATGAGTTGCATCCCACTAAATGACGAGCTATAATAAATTGCTGATTGTCTCATGGCATCTTGAGTTGCTTGCCAACTGCCTCACAGCTTGACGTATTGCAGGATGAATGCCTCATCATGACATCAAAATTCCGTTTTTACTGACTCATAACATGATGAATTGCGTGCTGAAACATCTGATGACATGCTGATTTGCATGGTGAATTTCACATAATATCTGGGACTTGTATACATGTCGCATGGCATGAGGATAAGCATTCTGAATATTAAGCATGATTACTAGCATGCAGAATCCCCCATGACGTCATAAATGGCAGGCTAAAGTTCTCAAGGCACAACATATTGCGTGATGAACGCCCCGTGGCATGATGATTGTCATTTATGATGTCTCGTGCTGAATGTCTCATGGCTTTATGGTTTGGGTGATGAATATCCAAAATAGTGAAAAAAAAAAAAAAATGCACACTGAATCTCTCAAGGCATCATAAATTGCATGCCAAATGTCTAGGAGCATGTTGTATTGCATTGGGGTGGCTCATGATTACATGATGAAAGCATTCTGAATGTCTCATAGCATGATGATTTGCATGCCGCATGTGCAATGGCATGATGAATTGCATGGTGGATGTCACATTGAATGATAAGCATGCTGAATTTCCAATGCATGACAAGCCGAAAACCTGAAAGCATGATGATTGACACACTGGATCTTTCATGGCACCATGAAATGCTTGATGAGTGTTCCAAAGCTCTTTGCCAAGGTAGTCCAACCTTACCTTACTACTGTTGAGCGCTGAGCAGTCGGGGAGGTGAACTGGAGTCAAGCCGGGATTTGGTAGCGGCACCCATTCTGCCTTCCCCAACACAGGGGGGTAGGAGAGGAGTGGGGGGTGGAGGGGGAGGGTATGAAAGGATAGCGGTTACTCATGCTGGAAATCCATGTGTCAGATTTCATACTGGATCTGAGGATGAACATCTCAGCATGGATGCCTCCAAACGCAAATACAAGGGTGTATGCATCAGTATGCACATAGCATAATGCTTGGCTCAGAATGAATGACTCAGAAATGTAATGCCACAATGCATATTTCAACATGCATGTCTCAGCCTCAAAATTCCTGAATCCATCCATCTTATGTGTACTAACTATATGTTTACACTCCCTCATGACCTCTTGTGATTCCTTCACAAACGAAACATTTTTCTAAATCATATGTTGCAGCTTTTTTATAAACCATGATCGGCAAATACATCCTGTAGTGCCACGCGTTTTTACCGTATCTTTGCAATCAAGCTGAATGGCAGGAAATCTGGCAGATATGAAGCGATGGCAGTTTTGAAGCAGTCAGCCCACAGAGGTATGTGATCTAGGTGGGAATTGCACGCTGTATACCACAGCATGAGAAATTGCATCCCCAGGGTTTCATGCGGCATCGTGCATTATATGCTGAATGTCTCATGCTACATTTGTTGCATGCTGTGTAATGTACCATGCCCTTACGCCACTATACATAGCATGGCCGAGAGCAGTGACTTGAGAGATAATGGCAGAAAAAAAACCAGCTTTTGGAACTACCAAGCTTCCTGACAAACTTCATTACAAAAACCAAGAGAACTCCTCTTCTGGATCCGTGCATTCAAAACTTATCTCCAGCCCATACATCCTGTAGATGTCACGAGCCTGTACCAAGTCTCCTCTACTATCTTTCACGTGATGGCAATCTTGCACACCCAAGTAGCGCAGCATCCTCGCTCTGTCAAGTCCTCCGGTAGAGCTTCCAAATCCCCACAACTGTTCAGATTGAGACGCCTCAGCCTGGTCAGTCTACCAAATCCCGAAGGGAGGGAAAGAATGCCGGTGTATGAAACATCCAGGTCCTGGAGGCATGTGAGCTGGGTGAGGGAAGCAGGCAGCTGCTGCAGGGCCTTGCAACCGCGCATTTCCAGCTTCCGCAGCCGAGTCAGTGCTTCGATGGCAGCAGGGAGAGAGGTTAGAAGACTGGACGTTACAATCTCCAGCGACGTCAAACACCGCAGCTCACACACAGTTGCGGGAAGCTCTCTCAAGCATGAATTCTTGACTTGCAACCTCCGCAGCTGTGGCAAAGACGATCCAATGCTTTCAGGGAGCCTTGCCAGCCTCCCAGTATAAGCAGCGGGATACCTCCCGACTCCCCCAATCAGCAAGGTGTGGAGGTGCGGCAGGACAGGAAAGGGTGAGGGGAGATCCTCAGCATCTCCCACCAGCTCCAGATTCAGCTGCCTCAGTCGAGATGCACCCATGGCCGCTGCCAGGCTGCCTCCAGCATCCACCTTACTGAGCGTGAGAATCCTCAGGTGTGGCAGGTCGGGCATGTCGACGCGAGGAGAGAGCTGCTGGTAACTCAGCATGGCTAAGATCTCCAGGGAGGGAGGGAGTGATGCAGGGGGGTCAGCCAGCCGCGTGCAATGAATCAGTTCCAGCCGCTTCAGTCTTGTGCAACCGTCCAGCCTTGGGACTGAAGAGAGCTGGTCGCAGTCATCAACCACTAGGATCTCCAATCCAGTGAGGCGTGAGAAGGAGTCTGGAAGCTGCCTGTTAGAGCAGGAGCAGAAGCGCAGGTGCTGCAGGTTACTCAGCATCCCTATGTCCTCAGGAAGTTCTGCAATCATGGATCGATCAATCTCAAGATGTGTTACGGCAGAGAGCTGCGTGAAGGAAGATGGGAGGCGCCGCTGCTCCTCACAACTCGTTTCCAGAAGAAGGGTTTTCAGGTTCCTGAGCCTTCCGATGTCATGTGGAAACATCAGGAGCGGCGACGGTCCAAGATACAACGTCTCAAGAGCAGTGAGATGGGAGAATTCCGCTGGCAGCTCACGGAGATCTTGGCAGCTGATGAGAGAGAGGTACTCCAGGGATGTGAGCTCGCAGAGGGAGTCAGGGAGGTATGTGAGATACAACGAGTTCAGCTCCAACCGTTTGAGAGCCGGCAGCTCTCCAAGGTTTTGTGGAAGGCTGGAAAGTTGAGAGCAAAAAGCGATGTGCAAGCTCTCCAACTGTCTGAGGGAAGTCAGTTCCTTTGGCAGCTTAGTGAAGTTGTTGCAGCAGAAAAGGTTCAGCTCGCGCAGACCCGGCATCAGATCTGCAATGTCAGTGCAGAGAACCTCACGAGAGTGGACCCAGCCGATTTCTAACCGTTGCAGATTGGTGCCTGGTGAGCCTGAAGGAAACAACTTGTAAAAAGATTCGCCGCAACTGACTTGCAAAGACGTCAGACAGGGTAGCTGTAGAGATGGGGAATAACGAGAGACATTGGAAATGGTGTCATTAGTTATGGAAAGACTGGAAAGGTTTCGGAGATGACGGAGACCTAAGAATTGCCGAGTACTGAGGTCTTGTGAGGCTATGACGAGAGTGGAGAGAGAACGAAAACTGGCAAAACCTGGAGCTTTTAAAACAGAGGAGTCTGTTAGTACCAGGGTTTGCATGCGAGTTAGTTGGAGGAATGGAGGAGGCAGATTGACATCTCGGTGAAGGCAGAAGAGTGAAAGCTGCTCGATTCCTGTGCACCGCCTGAAAAACTGATCCAAACCAGTTCAGTTATTGGGTGCTGATCTTCAGTTATTGGATCTCCATCTTCGGGCACAGCAGCAGTTTCACCGTCGAATAGGTTGATCCTGCTTCCCACGTGCAGCGCCTTGAGCTTAGGGCAAGAGGAGGCGAGGTGAGCGAGGAGGGAGTCGTCTATGCTCTCCACGCTGCCGTCGTTCAAGTGGAGGTGGGTCAGATTCGGGAAACAACTGATGGCGTTGGCGAGATCTTGACGGGAAACAACGCGATCCTCTCGGACAGAAAGGCTGCTGACGTGGCGCCGAGCGAGACGACGCCAGTCACGGCAGACGGAAGCGATGAGTAGATTCCACGCGGTACCTGAGTAAGCAGGAGGTGCTTGTATGGGAGAGATGAACTTCTCAGACCGATACGCACCGACGAAATCGGGCCATTGACTCAAGCACGTATACTCGTCGCTATCAGATTCGCCTACAATCGGCTGGCTGGTATGCCATAAGATCTTCACAAGGAGGTGAGTCGGAAGAGAGTTTATATGTGTGGACTCCATACTGCGAGATCGAGCAGTTAGTACTAATCTGGACGCCGACTGATAATGGGAACGGTTTTGGTAGAAGGGCTCGGAATTCAAGAAGAGAAGCAGATACATAAGTACTTTCTGAAACTAATTATAGGCTCGATAGGTAAGGTCATATTGTGTTCTTCCTGACTAAGACGACCCCCAGCTAGGAGCTACCGTTGCTGCGATCACGTGAAGTCGACCACTCACCTGGAGCAGCGCAACGCCGGGTCGCTGCCGCAGAAGGCGTGCGACGCGGCAGCCAGGAAGATGTTCACTCAGCTAGCTCTGTACAGTACTTTCAGCAGCAGCTACTTCGAATCTACACGTGGCTTTATTACATCGCAGCGCGCAGTTCAGCTTTACATGCAGCTCAACGGAATTCGAGACACTCACAAGGCCGGCTCTTCAGTTCTGAGCTCAACCTCTTCAGCGAGAGCAGTCTCCTCCAGCCCTTAGCTGGCCAGATGGGATGGGCTGGGATGGGATCAAGCTGAGGCATTTCGATGAGGGGAGGAGGCTCTCTAGGGTTTGGTTGGGTTGCCTGACCAAATTTTATTTTCCGCACGAGGCCTTCCGCCAGCCTCGGCAATCTTCAGCTGCCATGTGTGCCAGTGAGCTTTCACCCTCTTGTTCGTCCCCCAAAGCCAAAGCTCGTTTGGCTAGGCCGAACCCAACTGTGGGAAATAGCGAGGATTTCGATTGTGGAACAGGTGTGGCTGAAGAATTCATAGTGTATACATTGAATCTAATGTGAGGCATTCTGAAAGGTGCAATTTTTTGCTCTGTTAATAATTGTTTAATAGTTTACACATGCTACCGTACGAGTGAAGTTGTTGAGCGAATGTCAGCCAATAGCATTTCGAGATTCATCGATTATATTTGGGTCAAAAATAAACGTGCACATACTGTATGATGCATGATTGACACACCACGCGTTGCACTACTTGTACTGTACTTAATATCTCACCATGCATTGAGCCAGGGACATATACGCCCACATATGTCTCCAGTTGTAGCCATGAACAGCAAGTTATGTTTGGTACCAAACCAACTATAAGCGCACTACTTTACATTTTGTTTGGTACAAAGGTATTGTTAATTACTTAAGGTGGCTTGCACAGGCGCATGCCCTTGTACAAGCGGCTGTTTGTACACACATAACCCGTGTTGTACTGGGCCAGTAATCGTGACGAGCTCTTGAAATACAGAGCAATGATGCGCGCACATGTGTCTCCTGTCACAACTGTGTACATCAAGTTCGTCACACATCGAGAAGCTCCCAGTAGCATACTTGATTTCCCTCCGCGCACACACACCTGCACACAGAGCAAGTGGAATGGGGCAAAAAAGTACGGGTGAGTGGGGGATGGGGGAAGCTGGTGTGTGGAAAAGGAAGAGTTGGGGTGAATGAGGGGGGTGGGAGAGTGGGGAGCTCTTTGCATGTGCCACCTCCATTGAGCGCTCAGAGGCGGATGTGCAGCCCTCATTACGGCATCACAGCTGTCGCCCTCTGCCCACACTGTCGCCCTCTGCTCACAGCTGTCGCCCTCTGCCCTCAATCCTTACCTGTTGTCCTAGCAGCATCTGCTCGCCCACGTTACAGTTGATCCCTGGGTTCAAAGTGTAGAACTCCTGTGCGCTCAGAGGCGGTCGTGCAGCCCTCATTATTGTGTCGCAGCTGTCACCCTCCGCTACAGTCACAAACTCCTGGCACGCTGGCATGTCTGGTGCGCCATGCGCCACACACACCTGCACGCACAAGAAACACAGTCGAACAAAGAGACTAAGAAAGTTCGCGTTCATACTGACTGCAGATATCCTAAACAAGCCTTGAGAACCCATGCTCTCACACATGCCTTGAGAACCCATGCTCTCACACATGCCTTGAGAACCCATGCTCTCACACATGCCTTGAGAACCCATGCTCTCACACGTCTTGAGAACCCATGCTCTCACACATGCCTTGAGAACCCATGCTCTCACACATGCCTTGAGAACCCATGCTCTCACACATGCCATGAGTCTGCAATTCCCACCAACTGAGCAGCCTGCATCCGTCCACACGGCAGGTCGTCATTCGACTTGAGGGGAAATGCAACAGGCATGCCTTGAGAAACCATACTCCCACACATGCCTTGAGAAACCATACTCCCACACATGCCTTGAGAAACCATACTCCCACACATGCCTTGAGAAACCATACTCCCACACATGCCTTGAGAAACCATACTCCCACACATGCCTTGAGAAACCATACTCCCACACATGCCTTGAGAAACCATACTCCCACACATGCCTTGAGAAACCATACTCCCACACATGCCTTGAGAAACCATACTCTCACACATGCCTTGAGAAACCATACTCCCACACATGCCTTGAGAAACCATACTCCCACACATGCCTTGAGCAGCCATACTCCCACACATGCCTTGAGCAGCCATACTCCCACACATGCCTTGAGAAACCATACTCCCACACATGCCTTGAGAAACCATACTCCCACATATGCCTTGTGCACCCATGCCCCACCTGTTGCCCGGCCTTTAGCCGTCCACATGGCAGGTCGTCATTCAGCTTGAGGAATTGCGAGCGAGTCATGCTGAATGCTGCTGCGATGCTGTCACACGTGTCATCCTGCCATTGGTCACACGTACAGAGACAATGGTGCAAGAAATCTGTCACCAGCAGGAGTTCATCGGAGGGGCTGGTTGCGCCTGGCTGGCATGAAGGCATGAAAAGCGATATGGGGATTCTACAAGGGAACGGAGTTGAGGGATAAACAACCAACAGTTATAGATGAAGCAGATGAAGAATCCCTACTAGCACGTCACGAGCATTCCGGAATCGAAAAAAGCGAATTACGGGATCAAGTGTGGCGGACAGCTCTTTGTGGGCTTACAGCGGTGACAGTATAGGGTGTGGCACACAGGGTGCCATCGCTGACATAAATGTCGTCTCCAATGGCAAGGCTGGAGCAGTTGAGCTTCTGGGGGTGGGGAAAGAAGGGGGAAAACAAGAATGGCGACTGAGGCAGGGGCAGTATAGGGAGTTCTGCACAGGGTGCCATCGCTGACATAAATGTCGCCCCCAATGGCAAGGCCGGAGCAGTTGAGCTTCTGGCCAGTCCGTTCACACGGGGGGTTGGGGGATGGGGTGGGGGGAAGAAAGGGACAACCAAGAAAAGGACAAGTGAGATGGGCAGTATGGAGAGCAACACACAAAATGCCATCGCTGACATAAATGTCGCCCCCAATGGCAAGGCTGGAGCAGTTAAGCTTCTGGGCGAAGGGGGCAATCTGCTCACACAGGGAGGGGAGGCGCACGTGAGGGAAGGACGGCTGAAACAGGTTAAAAGCAAACAAAGAAGGGGTACCAGAGACGCAGGGGCAAAGAGGCGGGGGCAAAGAGGCGGGGGCAAAGAGGCGGGGGCAAAGAGGCAATGATGCATGGCACATTGATGATGCATGGCACATTGATGATGCATGGCACATTGATGATGCATGGCACATTGATGATGCATGGCAGCATATTGCATGCATTTTCAATTCAGCTTACCGGGTTGAGCAGAGTGAAGTTGGCCTCTGACATGCCGAATGTCGACCGCACAATGTCACACGTCAGCCCTGGCACCACGTGGACCTCTAAGGGAGTGACACCTGGCAGGAGCGGGAGAAGGAAGGGGATGGGGAAGGGGTGGGGAGGCACGGTTTTGTCATAGTTCAAATGCACAGTGAGAGGCGTGGGCAGAGAGGCGGGGAGAGGATGAGGGACGCCTTGCGAGAGGATGGGTGTTTCAGCCACACAGGTACATGCTGTCCTGTCCTGTGGCATATGTGGTAGCATTTTGCCTGGTGAGAAGAAAAAACGAGCAGCACCCACCTGGCATGCAGTCAGGGGATTCATCGGGTCGCTCATCCGCCACGAACCCCGGCGGACACAGGCAGTTGTAGCCGCCCGCATGCAAGGGAAGGATGACTAGCCTTGAGCCATCTCCATAGCACCGTTTTGCACGGTGAGAAGGAGAACGAGCAGTGCCTACCTGGCTTACAGCACCCACCCGGCACGCAGACAGGGGTCTCATCATGTCTCTCATCCGCCACGAACCCGGCGGACACAGACAGTTGTAGCCTCTCTCCCTGTCATCCAGGCCGACTTTTGAGTCGACTCAAAAGTCACCTCGCTTTCCATGGCTAGTGTGGTGAAAAGAAGAAAGGAGCAGTACCCACCCGGCACGCAGACAGGGGTTTCATCGGGTCGCTCGTCCGCCACAAATCCCGGCGGACACAGGCAGTTGTAGCCGCCCGCCCCGTCATCCAGACACGTGCCAACCTGGCACGGGTTGGCTGCTGACATGGCGCACACGTGGACTGGCAGGAGGGAGGGGTGGGCGGGGGGGAAAGGAGGGGAGGAGGGGAAGCAGAACATGGGGTGGACGGGGAAATCATGAGGCAGGAAGGGTACATGAGGCAGGAAGGGTATATGAGGCAGGAAGGTTATTTGAGGCAGGGAACTCAGTGCTGACATATTGATTGAATGCATATGTGGTGTTGCATGGTGGTGGGAAACGGGGAGTCCAGGGGGGAGGATTGTGGGTTGTGCTCACCCGGAATGCATGTCTCAGACCCATCGATATTCTTTGCAGTGGTAAACCCAGGCGCACACACGCATTTGCGTGACCTCACCTACCATTCTGGGTCCATTCAAATCTGAGTCGACTGAAAGCTCACCCGGAATGCATGTCTCAGACCCATCGATATTCTTTGCAGTGGTAAACCCAGGCGCACATGCACACTTGCTCTTCCCACCACGGTTGCTGCACTTGCCGCTGCCACACGGGTTGATGGGCTGACAGGGGAGCGAACCAGCTACCACTGGGTATAGGGCAGGCGTGGTGTTGATGCCACAGATGCCGTTGCCTGTGTGGTGTGGGGGTGAGGGGGATAAGGACAGAAGTAGGGATGATGGTATGTGTGGGTTCATGTGGGTTGACAAGGGTGCGAACCAGCCACTACTGGGTACAACGCAGGAGTGGTGTTGATGCCACAGGTGCCACTGCGTGTGTGCAGGTTGGGTGGGAGGGATGGAGAGGCGAATTTTGAGGTGCCCCAGAACTTTTGGCAACCACAGGGTTTGATGGGCTGACATAAGTGCGAAGCAACTGCTACCGGATATACGACAGGAGTGCTATTGATGGACAGGAGTGCTATTGATGGACAGGAGTGCTATTGCTGCCACAGATGCCATTGCCTGTATAAAGGTTGGGAGGGATGGGGGGTTGGGGAGAAGAAGAGATGGATAGGGAAGGGGGAGATGGATAGTTAGTGACCCATGGGTTGATGGGCTGACAGGGGTGCGAACCTGCTACCACTGGGTACAACGCAGGGGTGCTATTGATGCCACAGATGCCATCACCTGTGTGTGGGTTGGGGAGGATGGAGATATGGATTTCAACACAAAGGTTGGTGGGCTGCTTGGGGTGGGAACCTGCCAACACTGGGTATAAGGCAGGCGTGCTGGTGATGCCATTGCCTGTGTGCGGGGTTCGCATGCGAATGGAGAGACGGATAGGGATTATGGAGAGACGGATAGGGATTACGGAGAGACGGATAGGGATTATGGAGAGACGGATAGGGATTATGGAGAGACGGATAGGGATTATGGAGAGACGGATAGGGATTATGGTATGGGAAACTAAAAGTGAGTGGTGCTTTGCTTTGCGGGGTCATTTGGGTTGATTGGGTAATGGAGCTGCTCAGGCGGCTGGATGTCAAGCAGGCAGTTGAAAAACAAAAACAAAATGGAAACACAAACAAAAACAAAGAGAAACAAAAAACATAATAGTACCACGTGCTTGTTTAATTTTCTGTGACGTGCTTAATGTTATGCCTTGCAATAGCCACAACTCTGACATCTTCGGATCGGACAGTGAGGGTATCAGTTAGGATACTCTGTTTTGTTCTACTCTACGCGAGAAATAACTAGAAGAAGCAGAAGAGAAATGCACCTGCTTCGACGGCCATTTGCATAGAGTCGCCCTCGACCCAAGTGGATCCTCAGGTGTTCAAAGAAGTTGGGTATACTTTTCTTCCTTTCGTCGATGAGAAATTGTTCTCTCACCTGCCACTTGTTCTCACAGTTTTCTCTCTCCTGCCACTTGTTCTCACAGTTTTCTCTCACCTGCCACTTGTTCTCACAGTTTTCTCTCACCTGCCACTTGTTCTCACAGTTTTCTCTCACCTGCCACTTGTTCTCACAGTTTTCTCTCACCTGCCACTTGTTCTCACAGTTTTCTCTCACCTGCCACTTGTTCTCACAGTTTTCTCTCACCTGCCACTTGTTCTCACAGTTTTCTCTCACCTGCCACTTGTTCTCACAGTTTTCTCTCACCTGCCACTTGTTCTCACAGTTTTCTCTCACCTGCCACTTGTTCTCACAGTTTTCTCTCACCTGCCACTTGTTCTCACAGTTTTCTCTCACCTGCCACTTGTTCTCACAGTTTTCTCTCACCTGCCACTTGTTCTCACAGTTTTCTCTCACCTGCCACTTGTTCTCACAGTTTTCTCTCACCTGCCACTTGTTCTCACAGTTTTCTCTCACCTGCCACTTGTTCTCACAGTTTTCTCTCACCTGCCACTTGTTCTCACAGTTTTCTCTCACCTGCCACTTGTTCTCACAGTTTTCTCTCACCTGCCACTTGTTCTCACAGTTTTCTCTCACCTGCCACTTGTTCTCACAGTTTTCTCTCACCTGCCACTTGTTCTCACAGTTTTCTCTCACCTGCCACTTGTTCTCACAGTTTTCTCTCACCTGCCACTTGTTCTCACAGTTTTCTCTCACCTGCCACTTGTTCTCACAGTTTTCTCTCACCTGCCACTTGTTCTCACAGTTTTCTCTCACCTGCCACTTGTTCTCACAGTTTTCTCTCACCTGCCACTTGTTCTCACAGTTTTCTCTCACCTGCCACTTGTTCTCACCTGTTTTCTCTCACCTGCCACTTGTTCTCACAGTTTTCCCTCACCTGCCACTTGTTCTCACAGTTTTCTCTCACCTGCCACTTGTTCTCACAGTTTTCTCTCACCTGCCACTTGTTCTCACAGTTTTCTCTCACCTGCCACTTGTTCTCACAGTTTTCTCTCACCTGCCACTTGTTCTCACAGTTTTCTCTCACCTGCCACTTGTTCTCACAGTTTTCTCTCACCTGCCACTTGTTCTCACAGTTTTCTCTCACCTGCCACTTGTTCTCACAGTTTTCTCTCACCTGCCACTTGTTCTCTCACCTGACCAAGAAACAAGAGAACCAGATGAGAAATTCACCTGCTTCGATGGCCATCTGCATGAAGCCGCCGTCGTCGCCCCAGGTGGATCCCCATGTGTTTTGGAGAATGAAGTAGGGCGTCACTCCCACCGTGCTGTAACCCACCAGCAGCACTATGTGATTCACCACTCCATTCACGAAGCAATCTGGATCCGCATAAACGAAGCCCTGAAGGGTGTGGGGTTGAAGGGTGTAGAGTTGAAGGGTTTTGAGTTGAAGGTGCTCTGCAGGAGGATGCAGGG